CTATGTGGATGATTGCTTGGTATCCTTTTCCACTTGTGATCAAGCAAAGAACTTTGTTAAGCAAGTAAGTGAATTATTGTGTAAAGGCGGTTTTACATTAAAGAAATGGATAACCAATTCGGAAGAAATTAGGACCGTTTTGCCTGAGGTATGCAAGGAAGCGCCTTTGATGGATATGTCAAAAAGTTGTGACGTCATTCATCGAACCTTAGGTATACAATGGGATTGTGAAAAGGATGTTTTCAAGTTTTACTTCGACGCACCGGAAAGGCCGTTAACAAGGAGAGGCATTTTATCTGTGGTATCTTCTGTCTTTGATCCTTTGGGCCTAATTTCTCCAGTCTGTCTCACGGTCAAACTTCTACTGCAAAGGTTATGTAAGTCCCAAATAGGCTGGGATCAGCCGATCAATAATGAGCCTTATATATCGATTTGGCTAAACTGGGTGAACTTTATGCGACAGATAGGTCACGTTAATACCTCGAGGGATCAAGAATAAATTAGACGAACCTAACGCACGGGTGAAATTGCATTTGTTTAGTGATGCCTCCGAGATTGGTTATGGAGCAGTAGCTTATGCACGAGTCAGTTATTTGAACGAACCTCCGTATTGTATTTTGCTGTACAGCAAGTCCAGGGTAGCACCTATAAAACCAGTCACTATACCGAGGCTTGAGATGGCAGTAGCAGTTTTAAACGTAAGGCTAAGTGAAGTTCTGCAAAGAAGCTTACCCAATTTCTTCTGCGAAGTGAATTTTTATACTGATTCCATGATAGTGTTGTATTACATTAAAAATACAGGAAACCGATATAGTACTTATATAGCTAATCGTCTCGCTATCTTACACCAGTACACCAAGGTTGAGCAATGGACTTATGTCAAATTGTTGCAGAACCCAGCGGATTGGACTTTAAGAGGTATACAAAAATTGGCCGATCTTGAGTCGTGGATTAAATGCCCTACTTTACTGCAAGCCGAGTTCGGTAGAACTATTACCGATTGTCCACAAACTATTCCTGACAATATTGAGCTCAGAAAAACTGCTGTGGTTAATTTGAGTAGGGTGAATTATGACAAGTTCCCTATTATTTCTTATTACTCAGACTGGTTAAGATTAGTCAGGGCAGTAGCCTGGTTAAGAAGGTTCATAGAATATTGGATGATACTTCGTTCATCGAGTCGCGAAGGATCCGTTCATTTAGGATGCCTGAAGGTCGAAGAGCTCGAAAGTGCCAAGCGTAAGGTCTTAATGATAGTCCAGAAAGAGGTCTATGGAAGATTACTCAGTGAATTTAAGAACAACAGTAAAGTAAATAGTCATAATGATCTGAAGCGTTTATCGCCTATAATGCTCGATGGGTTACTATGTGTTGAAGGTCGTCTAAACTACTCCGATTATCCTAATGACTTCAAGCATCCAGTAATTTTACCTAGTCGTCACTTAGTGACAGAAATGATAATCAGACATTATCATAAAAAGGAGGGACACTCAGGGACTTCTCAAGTACTTGCCGCAATTCGAAAATACTATTGGATAGTGAAAGAGACCAGCACGATCAGGAGGGTGATAGGTAAGTGTGTAATCTGTCGACGGTATATGACGAACTCAGGACAACAATTGGTGGCGCCGCTCCCTGCATGTAGAGTGAAACCAGGCTGGCATAGTTTCGCAACTGTAGGAGTGGATTACTTCGGACCTATTTTAGTCAAAAAAGGGAAGGTCACTCGAGAAGAGGTATGGGTATATATTTACTTGTTTGCAAACACGTGCAGTGCATATTGAAATGGCTTATAGTTTGAATACTGATTCATTTGCGATGGCCCTGTTACGTTTTATTGGAAGAAGAGGGAAACCCTCAGAGATTTATAGTGATAGCGGGTCGAACTTCGTGGGTGCAATATCTGAACTAAGGAGATATGTTCAACAGTGGGACCAACAAAAGATAAGTAATGAATTGTCAGTGAAACAGATTCAGTGGCATTTTAACCCTCCGTCATCCAGCCACAAAGGAGGGGTGTGGGAAAGAATGATAAGGTCTATACGTAGACTATTATTATTGATCACCAGAGAACAAACGTTGAATGATGAAACTTTAGGCACCTATTTGGTTGAAATTGAAAGGATATTGAACGATCGACCATTAACCCCGATTGTACAGGATGCTAACGACAAACTAGCATTATCACTGAACAGTTTGCTTTTGTTGAGGGAATGCGACAGTATAGTTGACGAAAGTAGCATCACAGTTAATTATGATAAACGTTGGAAACAGGTGAATCATCTAGCTAATGTGTTTTGGAAAAGGTGGCTGCGGGAGTACTTACCATCCTTACAAACTCGTCAAAAATGGTTGGTTGAGCGTCGCAATTTCCAGCCAGGAGATGTAGTAATTGTAGCTTCAGATATTTCCACCCGTGGAAAGTGACCTTTAGGAGTAGTTGAAAGCTGTGAAACAGACGACGACGGAAAGGTGAGGAAAGTGACAGTTCGTACTAATAACGGATCTGTTAGGAGGGATATACGTAAGGTATGTCTCCGTGAAGGTTCCAATTAGTTACTTGTTATAACAATGTGGGCAGGACAGGTAGGCGTGCTGTTGTAAGTCCTACCCGTTTTTTTTAGTGTAGAATATGCGATTAGGTGAACCATGGCAAAAAGGGCATCAGAATAGCTTGTGCAGTATGGAGGGATTTTGGGGGCCGGTGTTAGATCCATTTTGAAAGTGAAAATCCCTCCATGCATACATTTGTGATTTCTTCCTTGTGGTTTCTTTATTTGTATATATTGTTGACTTTTTCGATGCTAATTAAGCCTGTAACGTTTAATTTTCTTGGTTTTCTTATCGTTTTTATTGAGTCTCTATGTTCCTTACTGAACTGTATTTAGTTTGTTTTAATTGTTATTATTCTGGCGGCTGCCATATTGACTGTTCGCTCTTTGATTTTGACTGGGATCGTGCATTTTCGGTTGTAATTTGGAACACTTTGTGTTATAAAACAGCCACTCAAACGGAATCTTACTTGATCTATCCAGAAAGGATAGAATAACATTCACCTTTTGGTGTTTTCGGTAATTTTCATATATTTCTTACCACTTTACTATTCATTGTAATTTAGATTGAATATTTTGGTATCAATTGTTGGTTGAATAACTGGGTGGTAATATTTGTTTAGGTAAATTTGTACATTTGTATATATGATGAAATTTAGAACCGTTATTACCCCAAAACACCTTATTCTGATTTCGATTGGGGGTGCGCGTCTCTAATTTTACTCGTCAGTCATTCAACAAATCAAATCTAGTTGGAAACTAGGCTTGGATCTTACACAGGATTGCATCTCCTTACGATGCTCCACTGCCTTGTGGGTTAGACCTTTAGGTCAAAGGCTCGGGGTGTTGCCCCCTATGAAAACCACCTTTTTCGGTTTGGGCACCTGGGCAGTACCACAGCCCTCTCACAAATCAAATGAGATTTGTGCGGCGCATATGTAGTCGGTGTCCCTTTGTACCAATATTTATGTGTTTAAATAAATAATAATAATACGTGAAAGTATATAAATAGAGAATTGATATAATAAATTTTGTAAACGACTTGACCACTGTATTCTAACCAATATCATGTACTAAACTTCAGTCCAGTCAATAACTAATTCAGTGAGATGAATTAATAATTTTAGAATACTTCCTTTGAATTTTAAAATAAAAATTAATCATTAGAAAACCATGATCTAAACTTAAGCTAGTTGGGAATACATTAGCAGGAGTGATCTATGTAAAAACTAAGCATGAAAAGACCTCCCAACTGATGATGAACATCTAATACGTTAGTCACTTGATCAGTCATAAGCAACGTGGAATCTAGCAGATATGATCATCTGTCTAGGTTGCCAAACCATATCAGCACAGTGAGATAAGATTATCAAGGCAAATGCCAGAGTAGTGGTAGTAACAGCACTCGTGGTACTAAGGAAGACTAAGCGTTAATTATGTGCTTGGGTGAGAAACAATTAATTCGTGGAATGAAAAGTACGAGATAATTTTTAAACCCAACATTTAAAGAAAGGCAGACAGTGAATGTTTCCGTGTCAGTTTTATCGGTTCTGAGCCATATCACACATCTGCAACTTGATTATGATAATCACGAATAATCTGTACCTATTGTTATATCCCGTGGAGATTTATGGATGGTAACTTTCAGAACTATTTATGGACCAATATGATATGTATATTTCCTATTGTATAATTGTTAAGTGACTAAACTATTCATATTCGTGTCCCTCTTATTATAAGCTTCATTTTGACCTATAAACTATTATTATACGATTTACCATTCTTGAGTTATCCCTAGTCCATTAATTACTGTTCCCCTTATTCACAGCCACATTTGGCTAAATCTTGTACAAATGTTATTTTTTATTTTATGGTACGATGTGGTCAGTTTTTTTGGTATATAAACCCAGTATGTTTCAGAATAATGATTCATATTGCAGAGGCTGTTATTAATGTTCTTGACTTAACTGGCTGGGCTAGGTAAAAAGCAGGACTGATAAGTACTCAAGACTGCTCATACAGCTTTTGTGTATGATTGATCCGATCGATAAAACACTGCTCTCTGATTGGCGACCTCATAACGTCATATATACCAACTGGGCAAGAACGCACTCACTCAATCGATATAACACCTATCAACACGACTCACCCTAACGGCCAATGATTTCACTAACTTATTCAAAGTTTTTGATTAGCCGCCCCTAGTTTTTTTACAACTTGTTTTTATTGCTAAGCAAACACCACATGTCAAGGTAGGCAGTAGTTGGACATACGTAACACACATCGCTCCAGTTAAGAAGTCAGCTTACATTAATTTACTTATCTAATAGAAAGTCACTTACACTTAAAATTAGAAATGAATTATACTTAAACAGATTTGCATGAACAATTACAATCATTGCATAAATAAAAAAACATGGATAAAATTGATAAAGAGTTTCACATTACCACTGAAATTCAGAAGATATGGCCAATAAAAACTATGCTTAAGAAACGTATCTATCGCTGATAATGTTGCAGTGTCCAATTCTTTTCGTATCATTTGTTTACTTGATGAAACTTGTTCAACCATTAATTCTAACATAGTTCGTACTAAATACAATTGACTAGATGATGGACCAACTCGACGTTTATTTGAATCAAATATACTGCTTGTACTGATTGATCCTGTTGGACTGTCATTATTATTGGCTAGCGAAGCGGCGACAGCAGCCATCGTAGAATTCGACCCTGTAGTCATACTATTATTATGATTATTATTATTGCTTGGATTTGACAGTTTTGAAGAAGCAGCTTTACCCCATGATTTGGATCCTGTTGTACCACCACCCCCGCTACTGCCACTTGTGTGCATCATCATATCCAAATCCATTGTGTCGGATATCTGAGAGAAAAAAGTAAAGGATGGGGAATGTGTCGTTCTGACTTAAAAGTTGTGTGATGGGAATAAAAGTTGTTGAGAGAATCTGTACTCCAAAAAATGACTAATACAAAACTAATGAATGCTTATTCATGAATTTCTATCATGTTTTTTGGTAGAATGAAAATGTATTTAGGTGAGGAAGTTTGATATATTTGGTATTAGTAATGATGATATTAAAATTTGCATAATAATTATCGGTGTTAATGACTGTGAGCCAACTAATGGGATAAAAATGGATTGAACGATGCAGTTCTATTGCTGAAAAATAACCTGTTTACACATTACAAGGGCTTACAACAGACACGACGGGAGTATTTGATGGTACTACATACTCAAATCACAACCGATTCAGTAATATTATCATTTATGTTTTCTGATTAAGGTAAAGTACTATTCGTGATGATTGGCGTTTATTTGTCGGATAAGAAAAAAAAAGATTAAAAGTATGGATTTACAGTTTACAGTTCAATTTATATAGGTTTCAATTATTTTTATAACATATTCTGACAACTTCACTTATCTTGGAAGTCTGATCAGTCCTAATGGGTTGGTGTCTCACAAAATCTCAGCACGGATTCGAAAAGCTTGTTTGGCTTCTACCGACTTGCGTCACCTATGGCGAATACGAGATATCCGTCTATCAAGTAAGGGACGAGTGTACTGCACAGCAGTTCGCTCTGTTCTACTTTACGGCTGTGAAACATGGCCATTAGGAGTAGAAGATACTCGTAAGTTACTAGTATTTGACTACAAATGTCTTAAAAATATTGCTCACATCTTCTGGGATCACCGGGTAAGTAATAGTGAGGTTAGACACAAAATATTAGGGAATGATGGTAAATCAGTTGATGAGGTGATGAATCTTCATCGACTGAGATGGTTGGGCCACGTGTTACGTATTCCTGAACACCGATTACCACGACGCTCTATGCCGACTAGTATTGAGGATGGTTGGAAGAAAGTTAGGGGCGGCCAAACCAAAAAGTGGCATCAGAGCATGAAGTCAATAAATTCTAGTCTGAGCCATGTTGGCAGATGCAGACTACTTGGTTGGGGTCCGCGTGACTATCGTAACCAATCTTTGGAGAATCTAGGTGACATGGCTAAGAATCGATCACAATGGCCTAGGTGTATACACTCTTTATCTTCCCTTAAACCTTAAGATTAAAATCGCTTCATAAGGTTATTCCTTCCTATACTATATCCTTATATACAACCTTTCTTTTATATACTATCACCACTAAATTAACTACTATGAATCCGGTGTTCATCTTGTTATGCTAACGAGGTATGGCAACTTGGATCGATGCATATATGTGCCTGGTCCTACGTTGTAGCTGAGTGACTGACTGATTATATTCTCTGAATCGGATGATTATGAAGCTTCCATTGTCCTTCCGGAAAATACTATCAGCAGGGAGTTTTCGTCGAAATGATGGGCTACTGAGAATCTTGGAAAAGCAGTAGCTGGCTAATTACTGATAGCGATTCCAGGCTTCTACTTGATTTGATCTTAGCATACCTGATTTGGTGATTCCGTCATATATAAGCATTGGTTCGAAGACATAAGATCAAATACTTGAAACCCACACATGTCTTTTACCTCTAAAGATGGTGTTTCGTACAGACCAAGCTGATGGATAGTATACTCACACCTTAATAGGCAGATAAACATCTAGTCTGCCTAACAGCTTATACGGGTTGGCAAAAGTTAACAGCTATCTGAAAACGTAACAAGTGTGAGGCCCCCAAATGCCATGGTACGGCCGAGAGTTGGAAGGGCCCGCCCTCTCTCCGAATGCTTTCACACGACCACGCATACACAGCCTCTGCCAGGGAAGTCCTACTCACTGCCTTCTCGTGCCACAGGTGTTGTTGACGAAATTGAGAGGACGAAAAGCGAATGTCCGGTAATTTAACCGGGTTGCTGGACACGGGAAGTTCACCTAGGGAAGTTGGAAAACCCTGATTCCAAAACAATGGTGCACATGGGCTCCAGTATCCTGAGGGAACAAATGGCGCATGAATCAATTGTTGGTCACCGGCTATCATGGGACTGAATCTCTTCACGATGCACCACTGCCTTGTGGATCAGATCTTTGTTTGGTCGGATTCAAGTCAACTAATCCTACTTATGTTCAACACAAAAACCATAAAACATGACTCAATCAACTTATACTTTAAACTTTAGTCACCTCTAATATATAGCGACTTAATTTTAAATGTTATGCATTTAAATGCCACTGAGAAACGCTTTTCCGTGTTGAACAGAAATAACACGTAACTAGAATTAAATGGAAGAAAAAATGGGAATAGCTTTCCTGTATCAGCGTAATAATACTTTCTATAACCTAAAACACCCTTAAAAATTTGTTTACATCTTATTATTTTAATATCAATCTTCACCGATAAAACAGTTATGATATAATGCTATGCATACTTGATCAGCACATGTTGCTTGAATCGCAAGTATCAAACGTGCCAGCATGATTCGTTCTTTCTTCTTTTGTGCTTTAAGCAATGGAGCGCTTAATTGGCCAACAACAATTGCCTGTAGTTCTCGATAAACAGAACGACCAATCGCTTCCGAATAACAAGCTTCCAAACGTAAAAGTTGTGTTTGAACAGATTTAATCATACTGATTATTTCAATCATAGCAAATCTTTCTTCTGAATTGTAATTATAACGAGTGGCCTGAAGGAAATGAGAAAAGAAATGAATATACTCTGGATGATGGGAACGAATGCAGAAAGATGATATATATATATATATGTATATATATATATTCCTAGGTCTAGGTTTCACCCGTGAACAAGTAAAACTTTTATTGTTTTGAGTTGCAGGTGAAGAAACCTAGGTATATTTGGACGGATCTCTTAAACAACTCAAGGATTAGCATGTAAGTTAGTTGAGTGATTAGTCAACCAAATCTTCAAAGACTGAACTTCTAACCGCCTAACTCATGCCCTTATGGAAACAGGTTGGAATTTTTTCCCCCTAACTTGCTAGACTGGATACTGGCAACAGCCTATGTGTCTTGCTCCACAGGAGTAGATGTACTGTCAGATGCATATTCCGCATATATAACCGTGAAAAGCTCATTAAAATGTTATCTTTTAACAATTAAATGAACTGAAGTACGATTTCCCCAACTGCTACCTAACAGGTAGAAGTATCTACAACCGCTGGGAAGGATAGGGTCGCGATGAGGCCAATACTTGAGTATATTAAAGCCACACTATTGGTAAGATACTTGCCTAGGGGTACTAACAAACCCTCATTGACTATTTGCATCAAAACACCATATAGCTTAGTTTAATGATCACACCGTGCTGTTAATAACAAAATTAGATTACATCAAGAAACGAAGAGATGTTACTGTTAAAAGCCTGTGACTGAGAAATGTACACTAGTCGATTATATACCAAATACAAGCTACATTAAAACAATCGATTATAGGCCCGTTGTTCAGACATCAGTAGATTTTCGAACAAGGTGCCTTGGTAGCTGAAGTTTCTCAGGTATAAGTCCCGATTCGGAAAACAAAAGTAACTGGGAGATAATCCCGTCCTTACTTCTAAGAAGGTAAAAGGAATGTCCTGGATCCCGATCCCGGTCACCGGCAAACAGCATCAAAATAAATCATAATTCAATGTGACGCCTATGAACAACGTTTAACGCCTATTCTTTGTATTTTACAATTAAAATTTCATTTTATAGAATGACCATTGACAAAGAGTAGCATTTTTGAAAGTAGAAGTACAAACAAGTAGAAATAAACGGCGAACCAAATCATAGGCGATGAAAGTTTATGACTATAGATGAATAATACTGAAAGTAGTGTAAAACTTCAGTGGCGAATCTTAGGAGCACTGAATGAATTAGCTTTACTCAACACCTTTTTTGCTACTCCGCAAACAATTTGTTAACTTGGTAGGAATTATTAGGGTACCAGACTCAATAGTTTTATTCAATTCAGTTAGGTATTAAAAGAGCTCAAAATAGTATCACTTTTCAACAGAACCTCGTATTCACGAAAATATGATCAAAGCATACTTTTTCATAATTTTCAGCATCTTTTGGGCATTCATGATTCGTGAAACCGCTGGCACAGTGAGCAAGCTTCCATGAAAATGTATCTAACACTTGAACAGACCAACCAGATAAATACTGAAGACCTCGAAGTGCAAGATCATAAAGTTCTTGGTTTTCTTTGACAGAACGTTCATTTAGACGAATTGATGTTGTATTTGTATGCCAAGCTAAATCGGATGTCAATGAAGTATATTCCTCTCTGAAATCAGAATTTTCATTATCAAAAAAAATTCAAGCCAAATAAATAGATTTATAAAGAGATCATGATATGAGATGTTTTATATGGCTTTTAACATTACTGAAATTCCTACGGGCATCATTCTGTGCAATAAAGTGGAAATAGTATCGATATTATGGGTCGGTTTGTGGCGTACAATAAATTTGAGTGTTCAAAAGCATAGTGAACGACAAAGGTAAAATCGCAATTCAAAAATATACTCACTGATCGTCACATACACGAGCACATCACTACCGAAAATGATAACTGGTTTATCAAGTAAACTTTATGGATTTGGTTTTGCACCAACCTTTTATGTATGAAGGCTAATGAACTTACCCAGCTGTCCAAACTGAAATGGAGCTAGTTTCGGACCAAAGACCTTTTACTTTAAAGCCAAACCTTTTAAACACTAAATTACAACTGGTCACATCAGTTAGTTGGTTATGGTATATTTCCCCTTAAATGATAAGGGAATGACAGTGGCCAACACACTTATGTTTGGTACGAATTAGGTTGAAAATTAACTAACGATACAAACCTGCAACATGAATGTAACTCATCCCATGACTGAGGAACTCTTAAGGACTACCCATACATATTTTTTTATCTTTGAATATGCAACAAATTCACTTTCGTATTTTACGTTCAGAATTCTCCATTGTACTAAACAGTGTTGAACATATCTATCACCATTAGTTTCAAATTTACACTACAACTAATTTCGATAAAACTTGATTAAATTGTTAATATGATACCATCAATATACTTCATCAGACTATTTTAGTAAAAGCATAGACATGGATAAAAAATAGGATATCGTCACTACCGCTAACCATTTGATACTTCAGGGTTTTGCAAGATTTTCAATATGATCATACGTCAACAACAGGGATACTACTCGTGTTTTAAACTTCTTATGGTTTCTTCTATTTTCTTACAATCAATAAGAAACGCTGAGCAACCTGAAAGCACCTGTTTGTAAGGTTATTATCTCCACTCCATTTAATGCTATTATCTATCTAAAAATTACTGAAATGTCTTGAGAATCCTGAGTAAGGATGGAGCTATAGCTCACTAATCTAGGCACACTAATTTTTGCCAGGTCAACGGTTTATATGATCCCCCAACAATCAAAATTCTAACATCCTAGTGGTATTACAGGTCCTCAAAGGAAGAAATCTAAAAAGCTAGTGAACCTGTACAGTCGATGAGAGGTTTATGTATCCCAGTAGCTTTGTAAGCTCTTATACAGGCTTTCTAGCTGACTGTAGTCGTAATACAACGAAAGTCAGAATGATTCACTTTAATCTCAACTACGGTCACAAATTTAACTCAGAAACGAAAGGTTGGATGTTGAATACTGTGCTGAATAGTGGTACTCTCACAATAACAATATACAGTGAATTCTGAGTTCTAGCTAAATGTGTTTAGAGATGGTGAAGATAGTTACACTATTCAATTTTTGAACACTGACTTTAGTAGCTTGGGTATTCCCTTTCGTAAAGTGTTTGAATGGTTACAAACTGCATATTGTTTGTCGACCTTGCGACTAAAGAAAATGAAGGCGGTCGATGAGTCCAAACAAATAGTAGAGAGAAGGGTGAACTTGAAGAAACCTAGTTTCCTTTCAAAATACCCAGTGCTTAGCGGAAAGAGGGTGGTTTATGTACGGGAAATATATGCCTGGTCAGGCTGTAGTGGGATGAACAGATGATTAGAGCCAAACCAAACAAAAAAAGAAATATAACGTAATACCTACTGAAATCTCGCCATATGTGTTAAGATCACTCCCTGACCAGAAATTTTAGCACTGTTGCACTCTGGCCATTTAGATGGATCATACGACGCTGTTTGACGAATATATGAAAATGGTTCCACACTCATATCACCGAACAGATTGACGACTTCACATTCCTAAAAAATTACATTAAGGAACAAATCTGACATACCTTCAGAATCCGATCCAATTTACCGATGTTAAGACGCTTAGCAATCTTATTCAGGCAGACGCCTACTTGTTTACCATCAACTATACGACCCGAATCGAGAAGATATAGGGAAAAAGCTATAACCTAAATACGTGAACGGGAACTAAACCCAAATTTACTATAACATGAGTGTGCTTCTCTTCAGGAAGGATATAGACCTTATTTTCATACATTTGAGCGCTGTTGTGAATGATTTCTATCAAAAGGTCCTCATAACCATCAATTGCAATCAAGCTTTCTTTTAGCGTATCGCGAATGATTTTCTGCTTCGCCAAGAATATACTCACATCGTGAGAATCGGGATCGTTAACCTGTAGGAACTGGGCGGCTCTGATTATCGGTAAGAAATTAACATGAACACACCTTTTGTAGTTAGAGTAATCATTTTTCATGCTTGCCTTCATGTTCTTCATTTCGTCTAGAAGAGCAAACATTTTTATCATTTTCCCGAGTGTGACGAGATAGGCCTGGTTTACGAAGAAGTTTTTCTGATCCTTATGAGCCAGTCGTTTCACTTCTTCCACAAACCTCCGTATAGCTGCATCCTAGTAAATTTGATGAAGTGCTTTTCAGCAACCTACTTGAAAGAACATGAACTGTTTCAGCTTTAGACAATGCGGTTCTAATATTTCCTTTGTTTTTTCATATATTTTTATTCTATTTGGCTGGTCACTTGATCGAATCTACTGAGAATGACATCTGAACTATGAACCTACAAATGGAAGAGCTCTAGATATCGACCTCCATGTGTACAGCATAATCGCGTACTCTTGCCCTTGTTCGAGCAGAGTATTTAGATGTGAGTAAACCCGTGCATCTTCAGCTGAACGAGCAAAAGCAGATTTAAATGCGGTTATATCACTAAAATTCGTATCAGTGTTGGACTGATCAGAAATGAATCTAATGCACAGAATAATTACCTGCAACAAGATTGGGAAGTTAGCTCCCTGAATTGATGGAACATCTTCATCAAGGCTTAGCTGGGACAAGGCACTGACTTCTCTCATTGTAGTAGGTGTAGGTCCTCGAAGGTGTTGAAGGACTTCCATTGTAACGCAATAACCATAAATTCGCAACCTACCGACCTTCAAAAGCCTCAAACCTCAAATCGAACAATATGTTCCTTCGGATTTCAGGAAAGCATTTTTCGATCACGAAGTGTACAGATCATTTTTCTCGATCTGAAGAAAGTAACAACTAGGAAATCTAGCGCATCTGAAACCAAATCAGTCTAGACTACTCAAAGTCGTTTTCAAATCCTCAAACGAACGCGACTTAATCTTACAAAATGGACACAAAGTAAAGGGTTCAGGAGTTTTCCTCCGTAAGGACTTACCGCTGGCGGACCGTGTAAAAAGACGGGAAGCCGGAAAGGAATTACAGCTCAGATTAGACGCTGGCGAAAAAGACCTGAAAATTGTAAATTTTCGGGTTGTGGGGCTTCGACAGAGGATGATGCCGAAGCCACTCTGGGTGAAGCACGAGGCCACCTAAATAGGCTTCGGATCTGTTATACCAACGCCCGGAGCTTACTAAATAAGCTACCGGAACTAGGTGTACTGATTGACTCAACTAGGCCAGACATAATCGCAGTCACAGAAACATGGCTGACGCCGTCTATAGATAGTAGGGAACTTGATTTCGAGGGTTTTACATTGGTAAGAGCCGATAGAATACAAATGCGTAAAGGAGGGGGAGTAGCTCTATTCATTAGGAATGCTATTCCATTCACCATTATCGACAGTGTATCCCATGAGAGTGGGACGTATGAATTAGTTTGCTGCCGCCTGAAATGCAGGGGACAAGAGTTACTACTTAGTTTGATCTATCGCAGTCCAAGCTGTGAGGCAAACGATGTCCTGCTAAGCAGTCTCAACACTTTATCACGAAGTGATCGATGTCTAATCCTAGGGGACTTTAATGCACCCATGGTGGACTGGGGAAATCTGCGGACTGAATCGTAAGATAATTCCTTCGAACAGGAACTAGTTGATGCGGTAATCACATGTGCCCTAGTGCAACACGTGAAGGAAGCAACTAGGTACGACCCGGGCTATGAATCATCCTTACTAGATCTTATATTGACTCATTATGAGGATGATGTTGCAAACCTGGATTACATGCCACCCCTAGGCAAAAGTGATCATGCAGTTTTAAGCTTTGACTTCCATATAACTGTCGATCACGAGTACGCTTCAGCTCAATCCAGACCTAACGTCTGGAAAGCAAACATACCAGACATCATGAAATCAGCATCATCAGTAGATTGGAAATTAGACCCAGAGTCATCAATCGAAACGGCTTGGGACATATTCCGGAATTTATACTTAAAAGTTACCACCCCCCACATCCCTTGGACTACACCTAAGAGACCGAGAAACTCCCCACCGTGGTTCAGTAGGGAGATTCGCATCCTTCTCCGTAAAAGAAGGAAAATGTGGGACAGATTTAGGTTACTGGGGACTGACGAGGCAAAATCTCATTATCAAAAGGCTCGAAATACCTGTGCCTCGACCCTCCGTAAAGCCAGAAAGCTGTACGAAGAGAAAATCGTTAGGGAATCCATAGAATGCCCAAAACGCTTGTATCCGTATATAAACCAAAGGACAAAAAGAAGAAGAAATGTTCCTTCACTATGGGGAGACAGTACTGCCACATCACTAGTGGAGGATGACTTTGGCAAAGCTCAAGTATTCTCTAAATACTTTAGCGATGTATACACCATAGAAACACCCTTCTCACCAGTCCATGAAAATCCACCCACACTAGCACTGGACAGGGTAACCATTAAAGAACTCGATGTCTTTGGTCTGCTAGTTAAGCTTGACATAGGTAAATCCACTGGACCCGATGAACTGCAACCTAGGTTACTAAAGGAATTAGCTAACTTTGTTGCGAACCCTTTAAGTGTATGTTTTAATCTATCCGTAACCCAGGGTCGTCTACCAAAAGACTGGAAGAACGCCATAGTAAGTACAGTCTTCAAAACAGGTACAAAACATAAGCCTGAGAATTACCGACCAATTAGCCTAACTAGTGTGGTTGTTAAAATCTTAGAAAAGATTATTCGGAAGGAACTGTTAAAGTATCTCGATGAAAACCGGATCCTCTCCGAAAAGCAGCATGGTTTTAGAACAGGTTACTCTTGTCTCACAAACGTATTAGTCGCTCGTGAAAGCTGGTGCGCCCTTAAGAACCAAAAGTTACCTGTAGACGTAGCTTACATCGACTTCAGCACAGCTTTCGACAAAGTTCCGCACAACCGGAATGTCGGGACTGGAGGCAATCTATCGATGTGGATAAAAGACTTCCTAGTTGGGCGTCAACAAAGAGTAAGGGTGAACTCCAAGTTGTCTAGCTGGGAAACTGTGCTTAGTGGAGTCCCCCAGGGTACAGTTTTGGGCCAGTGTTATTCCTCCTGTACGTAAATGATCTCCCTCGTCTACTATCGTCATCGGTCTTACTCTATGCTGATGATGTCAAGATATGGAGAGCGATACAAAGCAAGGGCGATAGCTTCAAACTTCAAAATGACCTGGAGAGATTATCTGAATGGTCCCAAACCTGGCAATTGCCGATAAACACTTCCAAGTATATTGTGATGCATATTGGCCACCAGAGTACAGATACATACACGATGAATAACACTGAGTTACCTATTGTTCAGGCACACAACAACTTAGGCGTCATCGTCAGTCAAGACTTAAAGACTACTGCACACTGCCGTGCAATAGCCGCCAAAGGTTTTAGGACTTTATGGTCCATACGCAGGGCTTTTAGGCATCTTGACGCTAAAATGTTTTTGACTTTGTATACAGTGTTCGTACGCCCTAAACTTGAGTACTGTATACAAGCAGCTAGCCCCTGCCTAAAAAAAGACAGTGAACTCTTGGAAATGGTTCAGAGAACAGCAACTAGGCTGATTCCCGGAATAGCGAAGCTCCCGTATGGTACTAGACTAACCAAGCTAAACCTATTCCCGCTGTCATATAGAAGAATCAGAGGTGACTTGATTACAGTTTTCAAATTGCTTAATGACAAATTTGCACCTGATATGCCCTCATTTTTCTTGTCTTCCAAAACAGAAAATCTACGAGGACACTCCAAAAAAGTTCACAAGCCCCGAACGAATTACTTGTCAGCTGACTACCGACTTTCCCATCGAATAATCAACGAGTGGAATTCATTACCTCATCACGTGGTTGAGGCTCCATCCGTCGACTCCTTCAAAAGAAAGTTGGATCAGCTGAGAGACCATCATTGCCAGGACTAACACAAGCCATCAAGCCTCCTGTCCTTTCCAAACTGAAACTGAAACTGAACTGGTTAGATAAACATGAGGACCTGTGAAGTGTGGTGTTTCACAAAATACGATCCTTGACCGTCGTTCTATTTAACTTCTGAAAGCTGTTTATCGACCGTCACAATCTAATCCTTCCCTTTATTTCTCAAGATTTAGCAATTCATACACTGCATATATGGTAGGATGATATTCATTCCTCAGCAATAAATATAGTACGTCCTTCGGCCTGTGTTGATCCTTGCAGATTATTTTCCAGTGATTACCAGGCTTCTTCTTGAAATTGTTTGCTGATTAGGTTGTTGAAGTGTTCCAGTCATCGACTCCTAAATTAAAGGATAGAATCACCGAGTTTGTTTAACCTCGTCCTTGAGTCTCCCTGCGGTCACCTAGAGGATGATTAGTTCTGGAGGAGGCGAAAGGTTGTAACACTCGAATTTCTATGTAGGTCAAGAAATTTCCGTATAACGTCGACCCGAGTTCTGAGATAAAGAAAAATGTTCGAGCATTTTAAGCGGTCATCGTCCGAGAATTTTGGAAGACTTGTCACCAACTTAGCTTTCAAACGTTATTCAATCATCTTTAGTGAGTCATGAACTAACTGCTTGGATGCAATGCTTTGACTGAGGTTTCGAATGAGTGACACATAAAACATAAAACATTTCTTCCTCAGAGCATTTGAATGTCCGGCGAAGTCACCATAATATTTGAAGACCTTCGGCAGCTTCTTCATTGTAATGAGCATCTGTTTTCATCCCATAATTTATCATTACTCCTAAGTGTTTTCGTCCCCAAGTGATTGAAAGAAATGTACTGCCAACCGTTTCTATGTTTAATGTGCATTAATCTCCAAACCCTAACGTTGGGACTGTCAAACTAATTCGTCTAGATCAGCTTTGAAATTACAATGAGTAGCCTCACTATTTATTGTTCTCCTGATCTTGACAACATCTGCAAACAACAGTGTCGACAATCGATGTATTCTTGGTAATTTATTGGAGTAGAGAAGGATAACTAGGGAGCTTAAGATGGCGCTCTGAAATACGTAACTGTTAACCGATCTCCACTCAGATAGTGTCTTAATTACACCCACTGCCTGTATCAATTAACACGTTGTAGGTTGTCTGAGTAGGATAGCCAATCCAGTATAAAATTAGAAACATGAGTCTGAATGGTGAGCGTACGAGACCAACTGATTGACATGTTCTCAACCATAAAGAGCCTGATACAATCAAAATGTTCTGCCCCACAAACATGGATGGATTGTCCAATTCGAAGAAAGCTATATTTCAACAGTAATCCAAGAAGAAATAAACAAGTTGTACGAATGGACTATTTCGTGGAATTTGCCACTTAATGTTGACAAAAGTGGATTTATTAACATTGGCCGTTGCCTTAACTTAAATCTGGCTATACACAAATATACACTGAAACCTCTCAACACTGTTCGTGACTTGGGTTTAAGATACAGCGACAGTTTGAACTTTTCGGAACACATTGCATCTCAAGTATCCAAAGCTAGAAAGCTCATCGGATTCATAATGATTAATTTCAATAATACCGAATCGAGATTATTATTATACAGAAAATGTATCTTACCAATTCTTGAATATGGTATCTTAGTTTACAGTAACTGCAGGCATAATGACCTGATTAAAATTGAAGGTGTTCAAAGAAGGTTCACCAAAGCTGTTTTGCGGTATTCTGACAACAAAGACTATCACCAAAGATGTCAACAACTCAAACTAGAACCTCTCTGGATCAGGCGTATCAAACTAAACCTTATTTTTCTCTACCGGCTTCTTAACGGTATTTCTTACTCTTCGCTATCTACCCCATCATACTCTATGATACCGTCCCACAATCTACGCAATAAGGAAAATATTATAGCGATTCCAAAAACCCAAACAAATTTACGCCAGAATTTTTTCGTTATTCGCTACTCAACCATCTGGAATAGACTACCAATGAACCTCCGATGCAGTGAAACTATAATCCGGTTCCGAAGTCTTCTTGATGACTTTCTTTCCGAAAGTGGATTGTGTCACCTTTTGAATATTAACGTGCTTAACAACGATTTATACAAAAATGGTCCGTCATCTATCTAACTGACTGAAAAGCAAAGTAAAACCTTTGAAACTTTTCACGTCTATTTCACTTTATTTTATATTTATCTGAATATACAAAGTCTGCTTATATTTGCATTTATAATTATTACTGTTATTAATATCATTATTGGTCATTCGACACATTAGATATTCTTTTCATCTCTTCTTGTCCTTGTAAACATATTTTATCCAAAGTCTACAATGAAAAACAAAAAACCCCTATGTTCCACTTAAATAATTTTTTTTTTTTCCAAAATATTCACAACATATAACGTATAAAAAATTTATATTTAATTATTCTTTGCAATCAATTATGACTATGATAGCATCATTCTAAATTATTATTATTGCACTAATGTTTATACAACAACCCGGTTTCACTCTATATACTGTTACATAAATCTACACGTATTTATCCGTAAGGGTCTATATCCATTACACTATTATGATCATGGTTGAATCCTTTCACTATGTGTTCATTTCTTTTCTCTCTCTCGCTCTCTTTTTTCCTTCTAAATAAATATTATTCTTAAGATTAAGAAGCTTTGGATTGAGACAATAACTTGTGTTACATTGAATTCAACTTATCACACTCGTTTTATCTTCACTATGTATATACACCTCATAAATATTGATTATCTTTTGCACTTAATTGAGACTTTCATAGCATCACCCAAAACTATGACTGTGCTTGCACAAACACTTATTCTAACGTCATATCTTACTGCAATAATAAGTTATTTACTTATTAATTTATTCTGCTTTATTTCATTTTTATTACTCGTTTTTGCTATACATACATAGTTGTTTATTCTTGTTCTGCGTTAAGATATTTGCGTCTCCCGCGTCTCCTTTATTTCTATTTCCTTAGTTTCTTCCTTTCCTCCTTCAAAATCAATTCAAAATTCTTGCTAATTACACAGAACCTCATTTATTATTACTATTCTATTATTAATATTTTATTTTCCTTTTCCTTCCTTTCTCAAACATGGCATATGTATTGTTAACATTACTGAAAATTGTGTATTATTGCATTTTTGAAGAAACCCGAAATGGTTTCTTCACAGCACTTATGTACCCATAAAGTGTTTGTGAATAATAATAATAATAATAATAAGTCATAGCTCTCAAAATCAATGCTTGCTGGTCAGTAACTACACCATCCCATATTTTGTGATGTTAGGCTCATTTAAGCTTATTTTTTGGATATACGTCTTACCTCACACAATGCTCTGTGTTTTACATCCTGTTAGAAAACACTATTTTCATAAGTACTATTTTATAATCTTATCAGGCAGTTACAAATTACGGACTGTGGGTAAGGCTTCGATGCAATGCTTTAATTGACTCTAGAATAAAGTATAGTCTGCCAATCAGAGTATAGGCATTGGGAAGGGTATAATGTAGGATGTCTGCTTACCACAGTAGGCGGAAAACTATAGAAATATATGAGTTATGGACAAGGTAGTGAGTGGTGAATTAAAATTGCTGGCGATTCAACGTAGTTTACAGAAGAGTAAAAGCTGATAAAGAATAGACGAGATAGGAACCTCCATTAACTTAGTGCTGAGGTTATTTTGTGCTATCCCAAACGGTTGATGGGTAACAGGTTCCATAGATGCAAGATCAATGGTAGTAGGCAGTCGACTGTGCGGTTCTCTTGACTTTTTTGGGTAGTAGTGGGCCTCCCTTAGCTATCGAGCTTAGTTGAGGAGTATCGACAAGTCCAGTGAGTTACCTGTCTAATTCAAGTAAAAAATTAGGAATGGGAAAGCATCTACTACAAATGCGAAGTAGGAAAATAAGGCAAACTAAACTTGGAGTCCAATATGGACTATAAATGTAGAGAGCCCATACTGTCTGAGTGGGACACAGATGTGTCCGATCGTGCTAGATCATTGTAAGTGAGAGCTTGATCAATAAGTCTTACGAACGTATGCAATTCGTCTACCATGCGAATTTCAGAGGAAAGAAAGTTCTATATTAATGCATACTTGGTGAGGAAGACGTTTTCTCGAGTTTTCGGTCCGTATTTTTCAACTTTGAAAGCGGATAATTTGTCTGGAAGCTTGTATCCATGTGAGTCTTGGACAAGAACCATATTACATGTGGAATAGGTAAGCTTTTTGAGGAGTTTGAGGTAGAGAATCAGATTGAACCTTAGCCTTCTTTACCGAAGGAGTTTTAGTCAAGTCAATCAATCTGTGATATTGAGGTTGTTCTCCTACACTCACCATTCAGACTAATGTTTCTAATTTTTGTGCTGGATTAACTATTCTACTAAGACAACCTTTAACATGCTAACTCGGACTTTTACAAGAAAACTGTGTGACAGGCACCGGATGATGAAAAAACAGACTGTAAAGGATATGGTTGTTATTTTATTCAACACTCTACTCTTTATATGCACTTTCTGTTCTTCATTCCAACCTTGACTTCCCTCCTTCATTCAAACCTACTCCACCTTGATAAATATCACAACTAATTGTTCTTTATTACTGCATTCTCTCCTCTGGAGCCCCTAATCACATTTCACTCTTGCAACATTTACTGTACCTCCGTCTGTTCCACTAATAAATGTTAGGCATTTGTTATCGTTGATATCCGAATGCCTTGCTGCTCCTCGATTTCTCTTTTTTTTCTCTTCAGAATCTTGCCCTGAAGGTGAAGCTAGATAACTTCTGACATCTCGACGAACGCGCATTCCCAAGGTCACAGTTGAA